CCCCACCCCCCCCCCCCCCCTTAAAAAAACGGTCCCAGATCGCACCATCTGATTCGCAATACTTCATAACCACCTCCCTCTGATTCACCACCCTCCATCTCCAGCGCCAAGCCAAGCCAGACTCCCGATCTCAAAAATCATAACGAGTGCCTCCGGGAGATTCAGGCCGATGATGATCACGACGCTCCGGCATCCCCACTCCCTCATTCCACGTCCAACTCATCAAAGTCCTCTTCTCCTCTTTCGTCAGAATAGGCTCTGCGTGCTTCTTCTTCTTCACCAGGCCCCAAGCAACCCCTCCCGATAAGTGCGGCCAGCCAACGCACGAGGTTCTCCGAGGAGGCGTCGTATATTGAGAGGCAGCCGTCACGAGGGGCTCAACGTCGCCACTGCTGCTGCTAATCGACACGCTCCGCATACACTGGCGTATGATCTCCCCCGCCTGCGCGGGAAATTTCTCGTGCGCAGGGCGGTCGTAGGGCTTGAAGAGGTCGTAGGTGCGGTCATCCCGTGGGTTGTGGTGGTGGTATTCTGAGGCGCGGCTCTCCGAATCCTCAGTATTGGGGGTGCTGGGTTCGGGAGTGGTCTCTTGGGTCGTGTTGGTAGTTGACCTTGGGCTTGAAGACGACGAGGCGGGCGAGTAGAAGTAGTCGTCGGACATGTTGTTGTTGTTGGGGGTTGATCGTCTTCTAGTGACCTGGCCGCCAGAAGACGACTCGGAGTCCTCGTAAAGGCGAGGAGACATCTTCAAGAATTGATGAAGTTCGATCGTGTGTTGAAATGTGGCGGTGGGTTTTTCGGAGTGGTTGGGTGGTTGCTATTCTTAAAGATCAGCTGTGTAGTAGCTTAAGCGCTTTTGAACGCTTTTAAACGCCTCGAAACGCTTCTGGATTGAATTGACGATGCCAGGCTACGCAAAGTGAATTTGTCATGTGCATGGAAGCTAACATTCGGTTAAGAATGATTCACCTTATAACTCCCTACGGCTGTTTAAGCTCTTTGTGCTAGCAAGCGTAGTAATCATTAATTTGAACATATCAAAGCTAAATTCAAATAGAACCGCCATAACCTCCGGACACATTTTGTTATAAAGAACTAGTTTAGCGCCTCTGGAATAGGTGCGACCTTTCAGCCCTATTCTATACCTATTTGACAAAACCCGATATATGCACGAGACTCTAAGGCTTCTGTGTCATCTGATCACCTTCAAAAATATACAGAATCTTGTTCCGAGTAATCTGCAATGATAAGATGGCTGAATAATGTGTACACAATTTGAAGTGTTGTTGCTAACCTAGGCGGAGCTAAGCGAGGTTAGTCCCTCCTGAACGGGCCAAATTGGCGAAGCACCCACCCACTCCTCAAATAACAACGGCTTGAAATCAGGTCATTCATTCCACTCACAATTTCACTCAGGATTCGGGAAGAAAGAATTGGCTTAGTATTTCGTATTGAGTTCTAGATTGATACCAAACGACTAGAATGGAAGCCTTGGTGGCCGATGCGTATACTACTCATCCTGCCTGGTCTCCCTGGCCTTCCTGGTCTCCCCCTTAATCAGAAAATTTGCTGATGGTGGAGATGAAGTCAAAAGAGCTACCAGGCCCGGAGATACGGCCACAAATTTCGAGAGATGACATGGAAATTGCATCCGAAACAGCATTTGTGAATCCGGGGAAAATTAAGGACCGGAAGCGGGCCTCGAGAGCGAATACTATTCTGTTGAATTGTAGGCTGTGGAAGAGTAGAAATTCGAACGCGGTTATACATGTTCAAAGAAGCAATCGCGTAAGATAAAATATATGTTGGAGAATTGAAGTGATATTGCTTATCATAGGAGATCTATGTGATGCTTTGAATCGCTTTGATTAGAACTGAGACCGTTGGCCGAGGGAAACTCTCGCTTGGTGTTTTGGAAAAGCAATCCTGCCTATGGTCGAACAGCGACTCTTAATTTCGATTCCGTTGTGTATATCCTGGTCATTGTGCTAATCAATATACGTTAAAGACTCGATCGCTCTAGTGGATAGCGAGAATGCTAAGTCCGTCAAGATTCCGAGACGTTTCATTGTGGTTATGCCACTATCAAATATCACCCAGAACGAGAATCCGTTCGGCATTCAAAAAGATTTGATAGTATTCGAGAGCCCGGGCCGGCCCCTTCGTTGGACAAGATCTAAGCCATATTCATACATATGACGAAAACATATAAAGATGCATTAGTTGCATACGTAAATTTCCTGCCTTCAAAATGTGAACGCTGACACTTCAAAGCCGATGCGGACACTACTGACCGCACGAGTAGTTGCACCCTATTTTTGAATCTCTCCTCCTTCCTCCGCCATTCATCTTTCTGTATCCTTCGATATCGCATCTCGGCATCGCGAAGAATCCTTACATTCTACGTTTCGCAGCGGAACGAAGAAACGGCGTCATTGGAGAAAGCATTATCGCCGCTCAGAACGTCGCCAATAGTACCTCGATAAACAAAGTATTCGTCAGCGGTGTGACATTTAGAAGAACTAATCTTAATCAGCCCATCTAAATGAATGATAAAATATAAGTTGCTTACACGAAAAATTCGCATCCGTAGCCAGAGGTATCGAATCCGGTCATCTTCTCGTCTATATCTTCGCCAAAAATGGAGGCCTTTTACTTTTATCAGCTTTGGACTTGTCAGAAGGGTGAGATGAGGGAGGATATCTTACTGCATTCATTTTAGACGTAAGGGGTTTCTACGCAGTTGACAAAGCCGGGTTCTAGGCAGAGCTTGAAAGTTCCGACGTATGCACTACCCCCATCTGCTTTTGCTTTTGCTTTTGCTTTTGCAGTCGCCCTGGCCAAAGTAGCTGCGGCGAGGAAAGCGTTGACAAATAGCATCTTGATAGAATGATAGAAAAGGGATTGTCGTTTTAAGAAGTGGATAGGTAGATAACGATTGAGGAAAAGGTGCCGGACCGTAGTGATGAATCAATATATAAATCAACAAATCTTGCCTGACTCTTGAGATGTATATAAGTACATTTTCAAAAGCCCACTTGCTATACGGAGTACCATTCCGCCTAGTCGCAGATAGATATGGTTTTATAACTAGTTTCTTTTCTCTTTCTTTCTCGTATCAATTCGTTCCAGAGTCAAGAGCCAAGTTAACTTGGAAGATCGGTACTCGTGCGGCCAGTAAGTATATTCCCATGTGTTTGATCTTTCTAGACTGGGGAAAGGGGTTGCAAAGCTCTATAGACTCTATGTTTGGGATTGTTTTCGACATAAGAACATGGTGCTTACTGGCCGCACGAGTTATTATTATATTCTTCGTAAAGACCAAGAGCATGCTGGCGTATTGTCACCCCGTTCGGTGATGTGATCCACTCCGTGCTCTAGCCCCGCGTCAGAGCCTCAGCAATCCTGAACGTCTCTCGGCCTCTCGATCTCTTTCTGATCTGACCGCGCCGCGCCCTGCACAGCCTTCGTCGCAATTGTTGTTAGACAATGTCAAATTTATACCCAAGAAGACGAGATGGCAATGAGGTCGCGTACGGGATGGTGAGAGCAAATATACCTCGATTGCAGTCCAGTCAGTGGTGACCTGGGTGAATCTAATTTGCTGACTTCCGCCTGTCGGTCCACTGTCCAGCCAAACTTGCCGTACCAGGAAGCTTAAGTGCGACGAGACGAAACCGATATGTGGACAATGCAAGAAGGGCAATCGTGAATGCCATCCCAGCGATGGGGTGGTGTTTCGCCACCAGCAGAATGCCTCGATGAACGGTGCGGGAAAGAAGGAGGAGGGAAAGTTGGGAGGCTTTTACGCGTACAAGAATTCCTTTAAGGAGAATCATACGTGGGTGGATGTACCGAGGACAGGTGTGAATACGCTATCAATGTTTGGACCCGCGAATCCAATCTGACAAACCCAGTTACCTTTTGCAACATCGCGGACCCATATAATACGGAACCTAGCCCAGAGCCGGATTTCCAGGAAATCTCTGCACCCGTCGTTCCGCCTCGAGGTGACGAGAAGCCGCAAGGATCTTATCTGAATATACCTTATGAACAGGCGCCGGGACTGGAAGCCCTCTCTGCAGCAGCAACGAGTACGTTCCAATACATACGACCGTCACCAGCAGATTCTCACGCATCGCCTTATCAGTCCAACAACCTGAACTTCATACTGAATCCAACTGGGCCCGAGAGCTCACTTAGTTTCTCCTCATCTGCTATTGATCCTGCCCTGATGGACCCACCGCAGATTCTAGTACTCGATGATCCTCCTCCTGTGGACGACCATGAAGTTGCCTTTCTGCTCCGGCACTTTGGAGAAACTGCAGGCCAGTGGATGGACCTGTTCGACCTGGGATGCTACTTTGCTCACCATGTTCCTATTCAAGCACTGTCGAATCCATTGTTAAGATACTCTGCTTGTGCGTATGCCGCAAAGCAGCTGGGGCGTGTCCATGGGAAGAAAGCAGCTGTCGGAGGAAACGCTGGGAGACTAGCGGATATGGAGCAATATCCTCGTCCACAGCAGTCTGCCAACTGGCCTTACGTTGGTGCGAAATACTATGATAGAGCAATCTTACTGCTCATGGAAGAGTTGTCAAACTCTAGAAGTCATGGAGCCCCTGTGGCCCCTTTGACTGGCGGAGAAGACGCATTCACTCCCTCGAGCGATCCTTCTTCCCTTGGTGACCAGCGAATGCCAGGAAACAAGAGGCGTCGCTTGTCACGATCGGCTCACTTCAGTCATGCGGATGAAACTTTGGCTGCGGCCGCAATCTTATGTGTCTACGAGTTTCTAGACAACGCGAACACGGCCTGGTCACGCCATCTCAGTGGTACCAAGTCGTTATTCGATTTGGCTGAGAAGGAGGGAATGATGCCTGTTCAGTCACCAACTAGTCCAGGACAATTGTCGGAACGGATAAGCCCATCAAGAGCGCGGAGGGCAACTTTCTGGAACTTTGCTCGGCAGGACTTCCTCGCAGCTTTCATTAACAAGACTCAGACTCGACTCAATACACATGATATCTCGATGTGGAAAGCAGCAGGGATCCAGTTGGATGAACAGGGCTTTGTGATCGCAAGCAATACCGAGGACTCGCAATTTCCAGATCGGCAAGCTGTCATGCGCGAGGACATGATCTCGAATGCATTGATCTGGCTCATGTCCAAGATAATCAACTTTCTGGCATCGGGGGACTCCGTCGATCACGTATATCCACAAGAAAGCGGAAGCCCCTCGGGTATCTTGGGTATTAATCAAATGCTACTCCTGGAAAGATGGAAAGAGCTCGAGAAGGAACTTGAGATTTGGTATCGCGGTCTTCCAGAAACCTTCAAGCCATGCGCCCGTCTCCCACCTGTAGTGGACGGAAGTCTATCACCTAATTCTGCAAGAGCAATATTCTCTGAGATATGGTACAGCGTTCCCATGTGTGCTTCGGCTATGCAATCGTATCATATGGCTCGCGCAATACTGCTCGTCAACAAACCTAACGAGTCGACCGCTCGCCGCTCTACGCTTTCAAGCCGGATCGGCTGCTGCCGGAACAACGAGAAGGAAATTCGCTATCATGCCCATGAGATTTGCGGGATTGCCCTCGCAAGACCAGATGGCAGTGTCAGAATAAACCAAGTCCAAGCCATGTTCGTTGCAGGGCAGTGCTTGACCGAGACTCGGGAACGTCAAGTCGTGCTTGAGATTCTTCGAGATATTGAGACTGACCTTGGTTGGGCTACAGACTATCGGGTGCAGAAACTGCTTTCGGAATGGGGTTGGAACCAAGAACCCAGTTGATTGTTGCGACGACTTTTACTCCTTGCTTCATTTCCGTGAGTGGGAAGTCACTCGACAGATCCTGAAGCACAGTCCATACATGCTTCTTCAACGCAAATCCTTACGCCAAAATCATTCACCCAACCACTGGCGCAAAAGGAAATGAATATATGGACGTTTCAAACTCATTGTTGAGTCACTTTGTCTTGTCTCAACCCCTAGATCATTCTAAAGGCATCCACCGCCCAGAGCTATCATCTGAGTTCTTTCCGCTCTTCCTTTCATAGCTCATATATTTCAGCTCAGATTTCTGATCGGCAGCAATGGCCAACCACTTGGAAGTAGCACCATGGCAAGAAATCGACGGGGATATCATCGCCCTCAAAACGAGGAACCTACATGGCAGGAAGATCAACCTTGGCAAGACCGCACTCGTTCAAATCAGCAAGCCAACCAAAGTCTCAGGTTCCAGGCTCCGACAAGACCTCGTACGGAAAAGTTCAATAACAAAAACCCTTTCCAAAAGTGCAAATACTCACGTCCTTCGGCCTGGGACGCCAACTCCCATCAGGACCCCGCCCACCTGCAAGTACATGGCCGCTTCGATCACAACTTCGTCACAAAATCCAAGAAACTGAAAGAGTACCTCGTGCGGTCCCTCTCCCAGGCTCTGAGTCAGATAGAGCAATGGTATCCTGATCCTGGTGATGACGAAATGGACTGGCAACACGAGGAAGAAATCGTGGTAACGAAGCCTCTGGAGGTGTGCTACGTCTGGGGCACAGGCGGCGGATTTCCGAACGGTGTAGGGGAGGCGATCCCCAGGTGGTCTCCACCCACGACTGTCGCGAATGGGGTGGGCTTTGGTGGCAACAGAGCTATGTGTGCTCAGATGAGAGAGTCTCTGCCCCGGGAGAATGCCAGCCAGCCAAAAAATTCGGGGGCTAGTGTTTCGTCGTCGCTGAGTGTCGAATCTGGGATTGCTTGATATCTGGATGGGGTTGTTTTGCAAGTGAAAGTTGATCTTTCCGTGCAACTGAGCACGCTGAAAAGCTCATCATACCTATCAGCTGCTTAATTTAATAGCAAATATAAATTTCGAAGCTGCATACAATGATTGTTTGACAAGGGTGGTGTAGCATCAATCCGAATTAATCACAAGGAGAGGGCGAGGGCTATGGACAAAAATTGCGTTGATATGAAAGAAGAAATCTCTTATATCAAGGTACTACTGATATTGGATACCCATGATTGAAGCTAATTGCATTCTGGAAGCAAAACACGCTGGTCGTTTCGCCATCTTCGAGGCCAAAGTTTCTAAGAGCCATTCCAATATCTAAGTCAATTTAGATGGGTGTAGAATCCAAGTCAGTGCAGATAAATATAGACTCACTCCGCAACACAATAAATCAACTTGCTTTTGTGCGTTATGAGGCCCTTCTCTTGGGTCTTTGCGTCCGAATAAAGGAAACAAGCCGCATCGGGATAAGGCTTCTCGGAGAATAGATAAAGCGCGCCAAATTCCGCCCCACTTGCGATTCCAGCTCACCCCTAGCTACCGTGTTCCTCGCCCACGACTTCTTCTCTATCATCGACAATCCAACTCGACAACTCGACAACTCGACAACTCGATAACTCGATAACTCAAGCACTCCCTCGACACAAGCTGCTTTCGCAACATAGGTAGCACTCACACGCGCCTCAACTTACACACCCACAAAAACCCTGCGCACGAGACAACATGTCCGACTACAACGCGCTGAAGGTCCCCGACCTCAAGAAGCTGCTTGGAGAGCGTGGCCTCATGATCTCGGGCAACAAGGCCGACCTTATCGCAAGACTGCAGCAGGACGATATTAAGAAGAACGAGGGTGCTGCTGCTTGTACGTACCTCGCGCCGCGATGCGATGCGCTTCCTCTTCCTCCATGCCACGGATGCATACTGACCGACCGACCGAGTAGCTGGCGCAGCCGAAGACGAAATCGACTGGGATGAGGATGATAACAAGGTCGAACCTGCAACCACCGCCGCACCTGTTGCTCCTGCGCCTGAGATCAAGACCCCTGCTGCTGCTGCACCTTCCCCGAAGCCTGCTGAGCCGGTCGCTGCGCCAACGACGACGACCACGACGGAGTCTGCCCCAGCCCCAGCCCCTACCACCACCGCCACCACCACTGAACCTGCCCCCGCACCAGAAGTAAAGCCCGAGGAGCCCAAGAAGAACTTCACAGCTGGCCTCGTCCTCTCGGAAGCCGAAAAGGAAGCAGCCAAGCGAGCCGCGCGCGCAAAGCGCTTTGGCATGGACAAGAAGGCTGAGGCCACACAGACAGACGAGGAGAAGAAACTTGCTGAGCGGGCGAAGAAATTTGGTACGGACAAGACCAAGGATGAGGGCATTATCAAAAGCATTGTCAGCACATTGAACGATGGGCTGTCAGAGAAGAGAATGAAGCGCGGAAGAGAGGATAGAGGAGAGGGTGGCAGACACGCCAAGAGGCAGACTCCGGATCGGAGAACAGAGGGGCAGAGACGAGATGGTCGGGGAGGTGGTGGGGGTCAGAGAGGTGAGGGCAGAGGTGGTGGTGGTTCCGGGGGCTTTAAGAAGATTACGGATGATCCGGTGGAAGCTGCAAAGGCGGAGGCGCGGGCGAAGAGATTTGCGGCTGCGAAGTGAGCGCCGCGCAGCGCGACATGGGATGGCATGTACGAAGGGATTTGGGCATCTGGGATCTGCGACCTGGGTTCTTGGTTCTGAGTTCTGGGAGGAGGAGCAAATCGGGAGCCTGTTTGAGTGGGACTATAAAATTCAACTGCTGGGACCTCTCTCTCCCCACTCTCGAGCAGCAGGATTCTCACCATCAAAAAAGGAGTTGGTTTTCTTGGGGGGCCCGACGTCAATGTTGATGGCTACTTGAAGTTCTGGGTCTAGGTCTAGGTTCAGGAGAAGGAGTGTACACTAAACTAAACGATAAGAACGAAATTCTTCCAAAAGCCCTCGTCGTGTAAGAAACATGATACATTCC